GAACACTAACACAACACTCGTGCCCGATCTCATCCTTCGATCGATCAGAGTGTGATGACGGTGCGGAAGCCCTTTTCTAGGTGGTGTTGTGTAGAAGGGCTTAGGCATCACAATCTAGAATAATGAAAGCTTGCACATAGCCTAATCTCTCTTCATGAAACGTCATCAGGGTCGGATCGCTCTAACTCGGCTGTTGGGCCCGAGCCCGACCTTCAACGCGCTGATTGGACACGAGTCGCAGACGAACACTCACACAACACTCGTGCCCGATCTCATCCTTCGATCGATCAGAGTGTGATGACGGTGCGGAAGCCCTTTTCTAGGTGGTGTTGTGTAGAAGGGCTTAGGCATTACAATCTAGAATAATGAAAGCTTGCGCATAGCCTAATCTCTCTTCATGAAACGTCATCAGGGTCGGATCGCTCTAACTCGGCTGTTGGGCCCGAGCCCGACCTTCAACGCGCTGATTGGACACGAGTCGCAGACGAACACTCACAGAACACTCGTGCCCGATCTCATCCTTCGATCGATCAGAGTGTGATGACGGTGCGGAAGCCCTTTTCTAGGTGGTGTTGTGTAGAAGGGCTTAGGCATCACAATCTAGAATAATGAAAGCTTGCACATAGCCTAATCTCTCTTGGCGAAACGTCATCAGGGTGGGATCGCTCTAACTCGACTGTTGGGCCCGAGCCCGACCTTCAACGCGCTGATTGGACACGAGTCGCAGACGAACACTCACACAACACTCGTGCCCGATCTCATCCTTCGATCGATCAGAGTGTGACGACGGTGCGGAAGCCCTTTTCTAGGTGGTGTTGTGTAGAAGGGCTTAGGCATCACAATCTAGAATAATGAAAGCTTGCACATAGCCTAATCTCTCTTAGTGAAACTTCATCAGGGTCGGATCGCTCTAACTCGGCTGTTGGGCCCGAGCCCGACCTTCAACGCTCTGATTGGACACGAGTCGCAGACGAACACTCACACAACACTCGTGCCCGATCTCATCCTTCGATCGATCAGGGTGTGATGACGGTGCGGAAGCCCTTTTCTAGGTGGTGTTGTGTAGAAGGGCTTAGGCATCACAATCTAGAATAATGAAAGCTTGCACATAGCCTAATCTCTCTTCATGAAACGTCATCAGGGTCGGATCGCTCTAACTCGGCTGTTGGGCCCGAGCCCGACCTTCAACGCGCAGATTGGACACGAGTCGCAGACGAACACTCACACAACACTGGTGCCAGATCTCATCCTTCGATCGATCAGAGTGTGATGACGGTGCGGAAGCCCTTTTCTGGGTGGTGTTGTGTAGAAGGGCTTAGGCATCACAATCTAGAATAATGAAAGCTTGCACATAGCCTAATCTCTCTTCATGAAACGTCATCAGGGTCGGATCGCTCTAACTCGGCTGTTGGGCCCGAGCCCAACCTTCAACGCGCTGATTGGACACGAGTCGCAGACGAACACTCACACAACACTCGTGCCCGATCTCATCCTTCGATCGATCAGGGTGTGATGACGGTGCGGAAGCCCTTTTCTAGGTGGTGTTGTGTAGAAGGGCTTAGGCATCACAATCTAGAATAATGAAAGCTTGCACATAGCCTAATCTCTCTTCATAAAACGTCATCAGGGTCGGATCGCTCTAACTCGGCTGTTGGGCCCGAGCCCGACCTTCAACGCGCTGATTGGACACGAGTCGCAGACGAACACTCACACAACACTCGTGCCCGATCTCATCCTTCGATCGATTAGAGTGTGATGACGGTGCGGAAGCCCTTTTCTAGGTGGTGTTGTGTAGAAGGGCTTAGGCATCACAATCTAGAATAATGAAAGCTTGCACATAGCCTAATCTCTCTTCATGAAACGTCATCAGGGTCGGATCGCTCTAACTCGGCTGTTGGGCCCGAGCCCGACCTTCAACGCGCTGATTGGACACGAGTCGCAGACGAACACTCACACAACACTCGTGCCCGATCTCATCCTTCGATCGATCAGAGTGTGATGACGGTGCGGAAGTTCTTTTCTAGGCGGTGTTGTGTAGAAGGGCTTAGGCATCACAATCTAGAATAATGAAAGCTTGCACATAGCCTAATCTCTCTTAGTGAAACGTCATCAGGGTCGGATCGCTCTAACTCGGCTGTTGGGCCCGAGCCCGACCTTCAACGCGCTGATTGGACACGAGTCGCAGACGAATACTCACACAACACTCGTGCCCGATCTCATCCTTCGATCGATCAGAGTGTGATGACGGTGCGGAAGCCGTTTTCTAGGTGGTGTTGTGTAGAAGGGCTTAGGCATCACAATCTAGAATAATGAAAGCTTACACATAACCTAATCTCTCTTAGTGAAACGTCATCAGGGTCGGATCGCTCTAACTCGGCTTTTGGGCCCGAGCCCGACCTTCAACGCGCTGATTGGACACGAGTCGCAGACGAACACTCACACAACACTCGTGCCCGATCTCATCCTTCGATCGATCAGAGTGTGATGACGGTGCGGAAGCCCTTTTCTAGGTGGTGTTGTGTAGAAGGGCTTAGGCACACAATCTAGAATAATGAAAGCTTGCACATAGCCTAATCTCTCTTCATGAAACGTCATCAGGGTCGGATCGCTCTAACTCGGCTGTTGGGCCCGAGCCCGACCTTCAACGCGCTGATTGGACACGAGTCGCAGACGAACACTCACACAACACTCGTGCCCGATCTCATCCTTCGATCGATTAGAGTGTGATGACGGTGCGGAAGCCCTTTTCTAGGTGGTGTTGTGTAGAAGGGCTTAGGCATCACAATCTAGAATAATGAAAGCTTGCACATAGCCTAATCTCTCTTCATGAAACGTCATCAGGGTCGGATCGCTCTAACTCGGCTGTTGGGCCCGAGCGCGACCTTCAACGCGCTGATTGGACACGAGTCGCAGACGAACACTCACACAACACTCGTGCCCGATCTCATCCTTCGATCGATCAGAGTGTGATGACGGTGCGGAAGTTCTTTTCTAGGCGGTGTTGTGTAGAAGGGCTTAGGCATCACAATCTAGAATAATGAAAGCTTGCACATAGCCTAATCTCTCTTAGTGAAACGTCGTCAGGGTCGGATCGCTCTAACTCGGCTGTTGGACCCGAGCCCGACCTTCAACGCGCTGATTGGACACGAGTCGCAGACGAACACTCACACAACACTCGTGCCCGATCTCATCCTTCGATCGATCAGAGTGTGATGACGGTGCGGAAGCCCTTTTCTAGGTGGTGTTGTGTAGAAGGGCTTAGGCATCACAATCTAGAATAATGAAAGCTTGCACATAGCCTAATCTCTCTTAGTGAAACGTCATCAGCGTCGGATCGCTCTAACTCGGCTGTTGGGCCCGAGCCCGACCTTCAACGCGCTGATTGGACACGAGTCCCAGACGAACACTCACACAACACTCGTGCCCGATCTCATCCTTCGATCGATCAGAGTGTGATGACGGTGCGGAAGCCCTTTTCTAGGTGGTGTTGTGTAGAAGGGCTTAGGCATCACAATCTAGAATAATGAAAGCTTGCACGTAGCCTAATCTCTCTTAGTGAAACGTCATAAGGGTCGGATCGTTCTAACTCGGCTGTTGGGCCCGAGCCCGACCTTCAACGCGCTGATTGGACACGAGTCGCAGCCGAACACTCACACAACACTCGTGCCCGATCTCATCCTTCGATCGATCAGAGTGTGATGACGGTGCGGAAGCCCTTTTCTAGGTGGTGGTGTGTAGAAGGGCTTAGGCATCACAATCTAGAATAATGAAAGCTTGCACATAGCCTAATCTCTCTTAGTGAAACGTCATCAGCGTCGGATCGCTCTAACTCGGCTGTTGGGCCCGAGCGCGACCTTCAACGCGCTGATTGGACACGAGTCCCAGACGAACACTCACACAACACTCGTGCCCGATCTCATCCTTCGATCTATTGATCCATCCGGTAGAATCTATTGATCCATCCGGTAGAAGAATACCCAGAACTGGGCGGATCTGAGCGGAACGACGCCTCGGAACAATGTGTCTCGAACGGTCAAGTGCGGCGAATCGAGGCAGCCATCTTTCCGACAGTTGACACGTAGTGATTAAGTGATTAAGCGAAAAGCCCGATCAGCATACGCCGGCGGCGTCTGACAGTTGGCAACTTCACGATTGACTGTCTTGACTTGGATTGGATCGCCTTGGCCAGCTGACTATCAGTTACGTTTAATTACAAAAGAAGCAACGATGAGTAATTTAATCAATTAAAGGATAAATATTATATATAGATATTGACGCTAGTAGGCGACTAATACTAATTTCCCTACAACATTTTACTTTACGCAAGTTTTAGTGTCTCATAAGGTCGCTTGTGGCGTTGCTTTCGCTCTCGTAATGCTATAATCAGGTACCGGGTTGGGCGATTGAAAACGCACTACTAAAACATGAAAACGTTGCTCCCCTAAGGTAGATTTAGCGGAAGTCGTAGCGGAGTCCGGATAGCGTAGCGTAAATGGCAAGATGATCTACTGAAACTCACTGTTACTATAGGTGGCTGAAGATGAGCCGTCGTTGAAGAACGACGCGGAAAATTTGGCAAATGCACGTAGAAACCCCAAACTTACAATGAAAGTGCACTGAGCAAGCCAGTTTATTCTCGTGAAACATTAAGGAGTGTACTCCTGCAAAACTAAAATGAAAGCAAAAATTTTTCCAAGTTAACTTTAGGCGCGTTCGCAGACGGCTAAATTAGCGACGCCCTTAACCTGTGGCGCCGCCTTCCGACGGGGCAGCAATCAGACGACGCACTGCGTTTTAGCCGATTACAGTGAAGTTCCCACGGGGAGAACGAGTGCCGTGTCGATGCACTTTTGTCGCTGCTTTGACTTGCTGCATCGCATCGCAGCGTCATCCGAGACATACTTGAGTTGAGTGAGCGAGATCGGTTTAGAGATTTGTAGCACCCACGAGTTGAAGACGGCGACAACAGTGAGCTAGAACGAAACGGAGGGGTGGCTCACGTGCTGTTGTCGCCCGCGGCATCTTCAGCCTTCCGTTGCGGTGTGTCTTGGAAGAGCTTTTTGAACACGCCGCCTGCAGTCTTCGCTGGGACCGGTACGTCGCCGTTGGCGGTATGCTGGGGCTGCACAAGACAAAAGGCGGCAAAAATGACAGCCATGTTTCACACGGAAGTAAACTGAATTTTCATTCAAGATAAGCGGACCGACAGTAATGCGATCTTCGCGCAATGCCACGAAGCCCAACGTATTAGGCTGATCGCAACATTTCTGCCAGCTACCATCATCTTGCCATTCAGAGTCGCCATATTGGAGGAATTCTGCCATCTGTGGACGCAGAAAGTCTGCATTCAACTCTGTTTTCACGATATTAGGATAATGTATTTGTGCATTCAATGAATTTCTATTTAGCTTTGGTACAACGAAGAAAAGAAAGATAGCGACGAGATTGTGGAAAAGGAATTCCCAGCAACGATGTCGCAAGGCTCGTCACTGAATCAATGAAACGGGCTATCCAGGTAAGTGCACGGTCTTTATCCTAGACGCCCTGCGAAGGGCTCTTATGGGAACACCTTAACGTGGCGCAAACTCGATAATTGATCACACACACGCTAGATGGTACTTTTTTTATATGATGTGAAAAAGGCTGCGCGCAAAGACCTCTACGCTCCTCCCTGTCACCATGACATCTACCACGTGATGGCTCGTTCACACTTGCGGATCCGCGGGCGGATCCACAGGGAATTTGACGCCGGGCGGCGAAATCGGCTCGCCGCTGACGGAATATTCGACGGCGAGTGCAATCGGTACGGGACCGATTTTTCCCGCGCGGAAGAAGATTCCGTGCCACTGCAGCCAATCAGAGAGCAAGAGAGAAATGACGTTTACTGACCTCACACCTTTGCCGAATCACTCGACTAGTCCGGGTTTTCGCCGGAGTTGTTGGAGTTCCCAAGTTTTGCAAATGGCGCCCTCTCTTCGTAAGGTTGTGTCGGAGGAAATATTAAACAATGCTAATTAATTATTCAACGCTCTTCCACACTAGGTATTTGAACAGCGAATAAAGTGCCCACGAATAAGAACTGTGGAATAAAGTTGGCGCTAGCGGTACTTACTCGTGCTGTCCCCGTTTGCTCGCTATTTTATTATGGCATTCTCGTATCGCCGAGAGAATTTCGTGCACTTCCCTCTGGTCACTGTGGGCTGTTAGCTGTATTATATCGCACAGGAGCGTAGCCCTGGCTGTGTGAGCGTTTTTTCATACACTGCTGGAGGCTTCCTTCCCTGGTCCTTCGAGACAACGGATCCGCGGGAAAGCGGCGGGCGGCCACAAGTGTAAAAGGAGGACACTTTTTTCCTCGAGCTAGGTCGGTCGGCATCAAGACAGCCTTCCGCATCTTTGAACGAGCCATCACACTGAAGATTTCCAGAGCGGCAATGTATCGCTCTGCACAATCTCCGTCGTCCGCTACAACCGTTTCGGTCTGTACCACGTCGGTCTGTACACATCATTCCAAGCATTGATTTTGCAATTCTTTCGAACTTTGTAGTCACGCAAAGCAAAACGGTATCGTTCAAAACAAAAGTTGTAGTGAATCGTTTTCTGAAAGGACAGCCCTATGCGTCCATGTTCTACGGGCATTTCAGGGCTTAATACCGAAGAATTTTATTCTCGTTCCCCGATTTTTCCAGTAAAGAGTCGGACCTTTTCCAGTAACGAGCAGTTTCTGGGGAGTTGAGTGCAAAATACAAATGAAGGGCAGCCAAACGTGCCTCCTCCCTCAGAAAACTTGACATCGTGCCTATTTATCGTGTTTTTTTGTTTTCGTTTTGTTTTTAACTTTTATGATCTATATAATCTTTACTCTAAAGAGTCGTTAATACAAATTACACGCAAATATAGGTACTGAGAATGCTCGTTCAATGGGACTTTTTTTTTCTTTTTATAAATATCATATTAAAGAATCCTACGATATGGCACTTGTTATGAGCGGAAAGCATATCTGCTTGGCTGCCTTTCTTTCGTGACTCTGGCAATAGCCTCCTATACTGGAGGCTATGCTGTGGTTATCTCGAGGCGGCCGTAGCGTTCAGTCTTAGGAAGTTCTGATACCATATCCTAAGCATTACGCGGATTGGGCGTCATTTATATTTCTTGCTACCTTCCGGGCGTTTTCGGGATTGGAGACGGACGGCCACGATGTTCCTGCCGTTTTCTCAGAACCGGCCAAGATGGGACGTTTATGTGCGAGGGTGGAGAGGGGATCGGGTATCAGGGTGGCATATCATAAGGAGCATTTAAACAAGTTCGTCCCTTGCGTGGGGGGAGTGGTCTACAGTATCCCTCTGACTTGTAAAAAAGTTTACATCGGCTAGACCGGTCGCTGCAATAATGATAGTTTACGTGAACACGCGTGTTCAATTAGGGCATCTACGTCAGGAAATCAGGCGGTTCACTGCAACAGACGTGGTTGCTCTCCGGTTTAGGAAGATATCACGGTCCTGGGAAGGCACAGTCACCAACGAACTAGGGAGATAGCTGAAGCCTTTTACATTTCCAAGTTCAAAGACAACTGTGTCAGCGCGCCTTCGATCGATCTTTATGATTGTGAGTTGGCATTTTTGAGGGGCTTTAACTTGTGACGATCATGTGACGGTCATGGGTCATGATGTAATTTTTGTTTGGTGTGACCACGCCGTTGGGCGTTTCCTTATAAACAAACAGTTGGCAGTCAGCGCTCCGTCCTGTGTCTCTGTTCGCGCTGTTTTACCCGTAAACAAATTTCTCCTTGCGTTTCCCCACTTTTCTGCTCTTCTTTCTTTCCGAACAGTCGGTTATTTGAGCGCCGCAGTTGTCGTAGTGCCGTATTCAAGGTGTTGCTAAATATAATTTTGAGTGATATATTGTTATTATATATCTTAGCTGGATTGCATGTTCCGGTAAAGTCATGTGTGCACGTTCGTCTCCGAGTGTTTCTGGTACAGCTTCCGTGTTCTGTTTCGGCTGTGGCTCAAGAGGCTGCACGAAGTCTCTCGAGCGATGACGAGAGGCATCAATCGGCCTTTGTTTCAGGTGGAAATAACCAAATTTACATATGGCAGTGGCTTCATCCACACCTTCAAAAGGTAAGAACCTTTCATGCCAGTTTCTTGTCTAATGGGAGAATACAGGAAAGAATCAAGCGTCCATATCTCTATGTATCGAGACCTCCGTCTCTCGTTGGTGTTTCTAGCTCAAAAAGGGTTTGGTGTTCTGTTGATGTATTGGTAGAGGGGCAATAAAGACAATCAACTGAAAAAGATGTAGTTCGATAAATGATTAAAATCATGAAATAAATGTTCGAGCAGTAAAACCGCGTCGAACCTAATTCATTGAATTGACTTTGATTAACGTGATATTTAATTTAATTTCATTTCATTTATTATACTCTCAGGGCCCGAAGGCATTACAGAGAGGAGTGGAATTATACATCAATATAATATAAAGTGAACAATGAAAACAAAACGCAAAAAACAAAACACAAGGTACAGAATCGCTATGGAAGATTATTAAAAACATTAGTTATGGCGGTTTTAAAATCAGCAGCGTCGGTAAGTAAGACTACGGATGCGGGAAGGCGATTCCAGACCGACGGAGGTCAGGGGTAGGAAGGAGGCATAAAGGGTGGAGGTGATGCAGTAGGGGATTCCTGCTTTTAGTAGGTGATCGGTGCGCGGCGATATGTATGATGGTTCTGAAAATAATGAGGTTCGAAGTGTTGGGTTAGAGTGATAAATTTTGTCGAATAAACAGAGGCGAGCTATTTTTCTACGAAAAGAGAGGTTGTGCAAATATAGAGACGCTTTCATGGAGGTGACGCTGGCTGTACGGTGATAGCTAGAACGTATAAAACGTGCGGAGCAATTTCGAATAGATTCAATGGATGATACTATGGATACGCCAGGGTTCCAGACAGAGCCTGCATACTCAAGTTTGGAGCGCACTAAAGTTCTATATAGAAGTTTAAGTGAAACAGGGGCAAGGGAAAAGATTCTTCTGACATAGCCTAATAATCGATTAGCGTTGTTAGTGATATATTCGACATCGATGTTCCAGGAGAGATCGTTAGTTATATGAACACCGAGATATTTATAGGTTGACACAGAAAGCAAAATGGAGTTATTAATACCGTTGGGGGACAAGTGTTATTTTGACGGGACACTCTCATGGATTTACATTTAAAGGTGTTAAGTTCCATAAGCCAATTATCGCACAAGCGGGTGACGTTTTTAATATCGGTCTGAAGAGCAGATATGTCAGAGTCGTTAATGATTTCCTTATAAATTACACATTCATCAGCAAATAGGCTAATAGAAGGGGATACATGCGTGGATATTAGGAGCGGTCGCCTGATATTTATTACACCCGTCAGGTAGCTGTTATTTGTACAAAACAAAACTATCTTTCAAGTTGTGCGAGCGTAATTTCACGGACGACGACATAGCTCGAGAGGCTTGATATGTGAACACTGCTACCGGACGCTTCGTCACTGCCCCTTTGACACATCTCCACCTTCGTGAAGAGGCAGCCCCATCAAAGTTCCCCGTCTGCCCATTTTACTTATTCAGAAAACGCACCAGAAGGGAGGACCAAGAATCGAAACTACAGCGTCTAGATACTTTTGCCATATAAACAGCGTTTGGAGCATTTTCGGAGAGTTTTTGGAAGGAAGAACAAAGCGGACAGGATTTTTAGCGTAAAATATCTAGCTATCTACGCGAGAAGCAAGGTCTCGGGGGTTCTGGCATGCTATCGAAGGCAATGAATCCCTCACTTTAGTGCACTTTGATGAAGGTGAAGCACCATAGATGAAATACTCGATTGCTGTGAATGCTGACCTGACGTTAACATTCTACATTGTTAAGACACCGGTCAAAAGATTGGGATTCAACCTCCACGTTTCAGCTGTGGCAATAGGCAAGAGCGAAGTGATGGAGCTCTTTGAGCGGTGGCAATCAGTTCGTCGAACGACGTTTCATGGACAAATCATTTCGTCGGCACTGCGATGTTTCATCGACAAATCGTTTCGTGGAAACGAGCACCCGCTCATTACAGACGTTGCGACGTTTCGTCGACAGCTCGCTCTGCCAGCTCCGCCAGCTGGTGCAGCTGGCGGCCTCTGCGCCTGCTCGGCGCGCGGCCTTCTGCTGGATGGATGGATGGACGGATGGAAAATGGCCGACTGGGCCAAGTAGGGCGAACCAGTGCGCAGCCATCTTGCCTCACCGACTTAAACTATGCCAATTTTTGTTTTGCTTATTTTTTTATTTTTATTTATTATTAATATTTTTTTTTATCTAACGATTGCACCGATGTCGGAACTTACGATTTGTATGGTTTCGCTCGTGTCTTCGCCCGAAACTTTGGGGAAGCGTTGTCAGCCGGAAAGTTTTGTTCTCGACCACTGTAGTTTCTCAAATTAGATTCTGAAAACATTCAACAATATGCACTGCCCTTGAGGGGTACGCTTTCGGCGGCATACGTGATCGAGGTGTCTGTGCGTCATCGAATGCAACCCTTCGCGGGCTGGCCGCCGGCACTCCGACTGCTTTACGAAGTGGCAGCTAGGGTCGTTTCCAGAGCAAGTGCACCTTTCCGCGTGTCGCGTATATTGGTAGAATCCTCGAGTCACCTGAACATAGCATAGATAGTCCAAACGTTAAAACAATGAAGCTCCTAAAACAAAATTGAAAGAAAAAACGAGTACTGTTTGCGGTGCACACCAGCCATTCTATCACTAGCAATAAACTTTGGAGGAGGCTGACCATTCGGTTATGCGTACTTTACTTTTACGGTGATAAAACACGGTTCTTATTTTTTTTTTCAAAACACCGGGTATGCAACGTACTGTACTTACAAGACCGCATACAATTTTTAGACTTTAGCATATTTAGACTCTGGATATTAAATAGCATAATTGTTCTGCATATGTTATGTTTGTACTGAAATTTTGCATGCACACAACCCAATGTGTGACCAAAGAACATTAGATTTGGAAGCCGCTCTTTTATGCAAAGAGCGGCTTCCGAAGTCGCCCCTGGTATCTGTCTGCTGGCATCGATAAAGAAACAATTGAATGTCTCGTGTGAGGACCAGTCTTCTGCTTCCGAGAGATCTCGTCTAGTGGTACTACCGCCTCCAAGGCCTTGCATGTGGCGGCTGCTCGAGAGAAGCTATATAATGCATTAAGTTGCACATTCGATATCAACTATGGTTTACTTTATGTAATAAGACTAAACTTGGTGTAATGTTTTATTTATACGTTACCAATTTACTTTTTTTTTGCATTCCAATGTTGCGTTTTCTACGTTTACTCGTGGGCACCGTGCTCGCGGGAGTGCGAGTGTCATTGTTTTTCGTGCTTTTGTTATTTATTTATATTTGACATTGTTTAGAGCCCCATGTGATGTTCTTTTTAAACAGACCTAAATGACGATGAAACGAGTGCGACTAAACCGTTTTTTCTCGTATAAGTCGCAGTAACCAGTAAAACTATGCATCACTTCTTCTTTTGAACGATTGAGGGTATTGTACATGTTTAACTTAAATTAAAATATTAGGGTTGTAATGTAGCAATAAAAGCCTGCAAGTTGTATTTTTGTTTAAAAATAACAACTGGGAAAAAAGAAAATCAGTGTCCACGCCCTTTTCTCTACCCACCATTGGATCGAAGTTTTGTCTTGTGCGTACGCATTTTTTTCTCTAACACTTTTCTTCTTCCAGTAACCTCCGGTTCCATAAACGGGCATCGGAATTTGCAAATATCCAAATAGGCCGCGCGTGAAGTCATGTGCGCAAAGTCCTGCGCCCTGTTGCTTATTCCATGTGAGACGGATGACAGCGAGAGGGTAGCGAGTTGCTCTCCTTAGAGAGCAACAGCGCTAGGCATCGTCTTTGTAATCTGTTACAACCGCTTGTACCTTGAGTTTCCTACACTCCTTTCGGAGCCGCGAAAAAAAAAGTGTCAACGAAACGTTTTAAGGTGGTGATGACCACGAAACGAATTTCGACGAAACGTCACCGTGTCGACGAAACGTGTCTCCACGAAAAGTTGTCCACGAAACGTAATTCCACGAAACGAGTTTCGACGAAATGAGAGGGACCCCTCTTTGAGGACATCGAGAAGTAGGACAGCTGTAAACGCCGTCACATAGAACTACGTTGTTGTTGAGCAACTGTAAAAAAGTCGGAGTTCCCAAAAGTGCCGAATCAGCGCCAGCTTGTCCCGAACCTCACAATCTAACGGCTAGTCAACGGGCACACGAGCGAGCTGCTGCTGAAGCATGTGTTGTGGTGTAGCACAATTATTGTGCTGAAAAAACGTTTGTTGTAGAGTGAACGACAGGAATGTTCAAGCGAATGACAATTCTAAGAAACGAAAAGCTGAAACTCTGCGAAAAACTTCTTTCTGATAAATTCTAGATTGTACATAATCATATAGAGTGTTTGTACACGTATCGTGTTTGACTATAATGTAATGTAGATAATCATAAAATGCACATATCCTGACACATTATTTGTCCGTAATCATAATGTTGTTTGTAAATACTCATATACATTTTTGTATGCAATGTTATACATATTTTACGACAGAAACACGTCATCCGTAAAACATTTCATTTTTAAGGGAATGATTTGTTTATCCTCTATGCCCCACTCCTTGAGGCCTAAATAAAAACCACGCTGAAGAAGTTTCAAATAGACAAAACAAACTTGTTTCTCGATGGAGAATTCACGCGCGATTCCCACCCTTTCGTACCATACCACAGCGCCTGTCACCCGCCAACGGTCCCACTCTGCGACGTCACGGGAGGAGCACTAACGCAATTGCGTTTATCTAGGTGGTGTTCGATGGGGCGAAGGAATTGGTGTGTCACATGACGTATATTTTTCTGCTGAATTTAGCGGAGATATATAATTATTATAAAAGGTCCCGTGACGTGGGGTCACGTGGCGTCGATTTTCCCTACTAGTGGGCACAAGAACAGCAACGCGATGTGGCTCGCTAACACCGTGCGCGTGCCCCAGCGCCACTCAAGGAAGTACAGCCCAGATGACGAGACAACTCGGCCTTGAACGGAATCGCGAAGCTTAACGAGGAGATCCACATTGCTTCCGTAACGTGCATTCCACACCGTCAAGATCGCCGTTTTTAGCAAACGATAGATCTTCTGCCAGGCCAAACATACCACCCCCTCCCCCCCCCCCCCCCGATGCTCTGCTAATAACGCACCCAAATATGGCACCCAGTGGAAACCTTATATACATAGCTTGCAGATATCGGGATTGCTAGGGACTGACAGTTATTTCTACTTTCTCGTTCCCTCGAGTTCCTACTTCTGCGGTGCGAAGCTAACACAGTGAACCGAACGCTCACGGCACATAAGAGACCGGCACGGCCGCGAATGACTTTAGGGGCAGCACAGTCTTCGGATATTACTACTACGCGAGAATGTCACACGTTTCCGCCACCAAGCGGCAGTGCTCGCAACTACTGTACCCTTGACCGTGCGGAAGCCTTCGACGTCACGCGCGCAATACGAAATTGCGCTTCTCACTAGGCCGACTTTGAAGCGAGATAGAGAGCTCGCGACCATGATATTTCGCTTCCATACCCCTCTAATGTTATGCTATGTTATGTTATGTTATGATATGCGTCCTGTTCGCCTCCGCAACGGTCTCCCTGTGTTTCTTACACCTCCCCTCATCCCCCTCCCCTATCTCCCCATCACCTCCCCAAGTCGAGCTCTGAGCGGCGAGCCGCCCCAATAAATCTGTAGCTGCAAGTCGAAAGCTGTGTCGTCTGTTTCGTCCTCTTGTGTGTTTCTTTCGTTCTAAGTCAATTTAGTTTCTACCCTTACGTATCTGGAAACAGAAATTCCCGTTTCGCGATGTTTTCTGTTCCACCCTAGACTCTTTTTGAAAAGTCGACGCCAACGCCTGTCTGCCACTGCTTGCTTACATACCCTGAGCATGGCTTGGACACGAGGGTAACGTCTGAGTTCGGAGTCAACTCGGAACCAATTACGCGCTTCGTGTCCAAGTAATGGCGGCCCTCAATGTTGCTTCGTGGACTTTTGAAAAGAGCCTATAATGCACGCAGCATTCAAAAAAGGCGGCATCTTTTTACCTTGTCCGTGCAGGAGTCCTCCTTGCGCTTTGAACCATCGTGCGGGGTGCGCGGGGTCGAAGGACCGCCTCCAGAAAGGCGAGGAAACTTCCGCGTGTGCACGTGTTCGTAGGGCGGCTTGGGAGAGTTATAGTAGTGTGTTCCACAGATGTAATATGTTTTCAAGGTCGCGCGGCAGTTGTCAACTTCACATTTCCATCTGAAATCGTGGCCAGACCGTGAAGTATACGTGAACACAGATCCACCGTGTATGGCCTTGCGGACTTTTCCGATTTTCATGGTTTCCACTATCAGACTGGTTGGAGCCTGCGAAGCGGCCGCAGAAGACTTAGCATTGTTGCCGCCAGTCGATTTGGTGTGCACAGCAGGCTCGATGGACGCCGTCGAAGTGGACGCAGAGGACGCCATTGCAGTGTCGTCAACCAGATTGCTCCGGATGCGCGCTCCGAGTCCCACGAGATCTAGTGGCCACACCGGGATATGCGGCCTGTAAAAAGAGCGCTGTGAGATTCACGATAAAGACAAGAAAACCGCAGCTGGCAAGAAGTAAGAAAGCATTTAGTAATAGCTGTACTTTAAAAGGAAAATGCAACAATTTTCGTACTTTCAGTAGAAACGGCTTATGATTATTCCCGGACATTCACAACATACAAAACACTAGTAGTGTTTTATTTCTCCACGCAATGGAAGTCGCAGAATAAATACGAAAATACAATTTTGCACTTCTGTGCTAATTCACAGTACGCGAAGCGATAGCGGCGATGTCACGGCGAAGTCGTGGAGCATCAGCGTCGCGTTCATGCATCGTAGGGTGTGTGAACAAAAGCGTTAGGAACAAAATAGACAACTGACCACCTTGTTTCGATCTCTTTTGTTTCTCTTTTGTTCCCAAGCGCTTGACAGCGCGTCTCTCAGCACGAGCTTTTGGCATTGGCAGTGCTACATCGGCATTTTGTTATAAGCAACTTTTTTTTTCTCCAGAGAACGCGTGGAGTGGGCATCGCGCACTGCAAAAACCCTATATATGAGACGGGTTGCTAACTGTGTGGCGTAGCTATGTAACGCCTGCATTCGGCACGCAGCGGACCTGGGTTTGATTCATGCGGGCGGCGGGTGCTCTTTTTCGACGACGACGTCGACGAAGGGCGCCCTACAACGTCAACTACAACATTTATGGCTATAACATGAACAGCTACAGCAACGGACGTCATTTCCAGAGGCAAAGAGTCCATAACCGCTTTCGCTGTGAAAGGAACAGGGCTCACCCTCTCAACTCCCAGCCACCAGCGGCCACGTGATCTGGAGCCAAATAAATTCGCCAATATTTGACGGAGCTATAGGAAGCATTCACTGGGCGCCATATTTGTGGGTGCTGTCTAGAGCGCATGCTAAGAACGAGCCCACATTGATAGGCTGCTAAGACCGGCAATCTTGAGAGTGTGGAATGCACGTTACAAAGGAACTGTGGAAGCTCGCCATTAGGACGCGCTCAGCAGTCGTGCACACAGCTATGGCCGCCAGTGAATACTTCCACAGTGGCTACATAATTTGCTCACGCACAGTGGCTGCCAAGGCACAGGGCGCGCGCTGAGTTCCACGCCTTGTCGTCGCAGCCATTGGGCACGAACCACTGCCCGAACGCATGTTAAGGAATTGAGTGTCACGAGCCGACATTTAATTATCACGCAGTGCTCCTCTCGATTGTACTAGCCGCATTCACATATCGTCACAGCGGAGATCGCAATCCCAGGGTTCGCATTGTTGGCGTTGTGCCCGCAACGTTGTCATAAAAGTTTGCAAGGGAGAGGCTGGAAAACAAAAACTTTGTCTTTTATATTTTGATTTCCACCGCGAAGACGTTTCTAAGTCACGGGCTTTGCCTTTGAGGTATTTTTGGGGCAAACTAGTGCCATCAAGCTAATGGAAAGTGAGAACCATTACTTCCCAATATCGTTGCACGACCCTTTTTATTGCTAAACCTGATTTTTCTTTCATCCTTTCCTCCATATATTATTTTCTGTCCCTCACACACCCTTTTGCACGCAGCTAGCTAGGTAAAATATTTGAAACAAGTCTGCTCAGGGGGGAGCGGTAAGTGGAGGGGTTTGCCGAAGGAAATGTTATTGTTTTTTAAAACGGAAGTTTAGTCCAATGCCCGTATAACCTGAAACGTACATTGTAAACAAAATAACTGCTAAACATATCGGAAACCATCGTAAATTGTAGAAATTAAAAAGAAAAAGTATAGTTTGCGCTCTAAAATGAATAATTCTGTTTAGTGGCCAAAAGTCTATTGTTGTGTTCTACCGTAAGATACCGAGCATCCGCTCATTCCACAATAAGCATCCACCCCTCAATTTTGAAAAATACTGGATGAATACACGAAGGACATATATTTACATATTGTTATTTAAGGAGCGCCCATTCCCTATTTTTACATTTTAACTTTAAATACTGAGGGACGCTTGCTTAGGATTTTTATGGGTATAGCTCTATTGGACACCAAATTTACGTGACCGGCTATTCTACATGAAAAAATAAAAACGGTGAAAAAGAGGTGACGCAGGAGGGCAAGATTTATGTGGCACACCTTCAGGCACGACTCCTGTAACTTGTCGTGTTTGCCATGCCCAGCAAACAAAAAACAAAAAACAATAGAAAAAGCTGAGATATATGCCAGAGGCACTGCATTAAGTATGGTAGAGGGCTGGCGACTCATGAAACACAAAGTACAGGACTTTCCTCAATAACGTTACACGTGATTCATTTTCTTGCCGACAACATACACAAATGAAAAAAAAAAACGGTTAAAGCGCAGGCGAGCGGGTGTAAGTTATACAGGATGATTGAAACCTGAGACTGTGGTTTGCAAAACGGAAACTCGTGAATTTGGAAGAAAAATGGACAGATAACGTCTTAAAGAGACCTTGTCTGTCCCTTTTTCTTGTCACTTCACGAGTTTCCGTTTTCCAAACCAGCCTCAGGTTTCAATCATCAGGTATAACATACACAACACACATACATGTGATTGCACTATTTATAGACGTCGTATCACACACGAAGTATCAAGAAAAAGAAATTGAAGTCATAAAAAGTATAGTCCAATGATTAACGCGGTGTCTTTTAGGAATATTTCCTAAGCTTCAAGTATCTTATTAATGGCCTCAATGGTCCCCTGTATTTATGAATTTTTGTAGGTTGTAAGGTTATTTACTGAGCACGAAAAGAATAAAACAAACTTGAGACGACGCACATTTGTTTCATGAAAGAAAAGCTGGTCGTCCATCGTGTCTCGAGTTTGTTTTATTCTTTCTGTGGTCAATCGATTCTAAAAACACGCTCATCAGTTGATTTGAAGGTTATTTGTAGAGTCTGAATAGCTCCTTTCAATGTGTATCTAGAATTGTTAAGAACATGACGGTCACAAAATATGTGGTCGTTGTTTTCCGCTATGCCAAAATGCTGACAGCTGGGACTGGCTATAGGTCGAAACATGGGAATTCATACATTATACCTTGTCTCACCGTACGATGGACTAAAGGCCGAAGCCACGGGCCGCCAGGTCCCTTCACGTTCCACGCTAAACCATGCCATGCTTAGCATTGGCTAGGGGAGGACAAATAATGCTCCGAACCCCTAAGCGCTGCGTCATTTCTATATACTCCGTCTCACCCTACGATGGACTAAAGGCAAGAGCCATGGACCGCCAGATCCAATCACGAGCCACTTAGAAATTGTGCGGTATTTCGCTGCGATGCACGTATCGGTGCCCGCGTCATGTTCTAAAGATTTCAGCTAGAACTTTCTGGAGTTTCCTTTGGGTGCTTATCACTGGTTGACCAAAGATCTTCTTAATTTATAAGGGCCTGAATTTCTTGAGAAGGTTTCGTAGGTAGAGATAAAAGAGATATTGAAGAGGGGCTTAAAACGCCTCCCTTTGGGGCTCCTCGCTCAAGTGAGGGCTAAATTGAGTTTGCTTCAAGAGTAGTTATATAGAAATTATGGCACGCAATGTAATCGATTACACAGTTGAAAATCTTTGCAATGCCGAGTTCAGCCTTCAAGACATTATGAATTGATGTGTATTAAATCGAACGCCTTTTTTATGTCAAATATTATGGCCAAGTTCGTTTTCCTGTCAGCAATACCTTGTTCAACTGTGCTAACAGGGCTAATCACACTGTAAGTGCCCAATAGTCCAATTTGGCAGCCCGATATACTCTTTTGGATAACACTCTCCTTTCTAGGGATACAATGTTATCCTTAGTAAAATCACGCGTTCCATAATTTTGCATGCACAATTTGTCAAAACAATAGGTTGGAAAGATGCCAGATCAAGTGCTGAGTGACCAGGTTTTAAAATTGCGGTTAGGTTGCCTTGCTTCCACTCACGCGGCAGCACGCCATTGCTGAACAAGTTCTTAGTGTTTTAAAAGTGTGAGTCGGGAGTGTTCGCTTAATGGAAAGCCTGAAACACTTCTTTAATACGATAATATAGATGTTGATTAAAGCGTAGTTTCATCTCGTAAGTCTGAATATTACTTTCGTTTCCCCCGAATATGTAGAAATGCGAGAAACACGAAAAACCTCCGAACAGTCCTTATGTTATAGGGGATCTTACGCCAGCCAAGCGCGTGTCGCTCGAGGGCCCCGCTTGCAATTGCAAACACGCCAGGTATATTGCGCACGGGCACCAGTCGTGGCGCCTTTTATTGCCCTTTCTAAACACAGCAAGGGTGCGGGCGCATAACTTTGATAGGTGCTGGAGATGCGCGAGAGCGGAGATTCGGAAAACTCCTTTTATGACGTCACGCTCCGGGAAGGGGGCCTTCAGTGGTACCTTTATAACGATTTTCTACAGCCTCCATGTACCAAATTAAGAAAAGAAAATATTTACATTTTTTTATATTTCTTGGAGGTCAAATGAAGACGATTTAGGTGTTTCCTCAAATATAAAACAGTTCTAGCTTCCCTTTAAGTGTGAGTGTGCGCTAAACATTACACCATCTGGACCAGGCGTGGATTTTTATTCTCCAGTTCTGTAAGACGTGGCTCAGTTTCCCAAGAGTGAAGCCAAGTCTAGGGAAGATTGCTTGGAACTTCGAGTATCAACTCGGGTGTTGTTTTGACATTTTATACGATATTACGTGTTGACGATAAGCCAGCAAAAGGCCTCGGGAACCTCAATGTCTGAGATGCCTTGCCGTAAAGAAAGAGCTCTAATGCAAAAAGCTGCGTAGCCAGAATTCAAATTCCACTCACTACGCTTTAGAGCTGAGTGCGGTTTTTTCTTGCATCCAACAATGAGCAAGGATGTTTTTGTCGATGCTGGAAACGAGCAACTAAATGCTTGCGCACTATTTTGGCACACTACACGCGTTTATGATGTCAACACGCCTTTTGTTCCACCTGCCTTTTCTTCTCTCTCTTCGCCTTTGAAACGCACGTAGCCTCTTATATTCAATATCAATATCTCTACCACTAAAATGAAGTATTTTCTTTCGCGAAGCCTCTGCCAGGCACTGTGAAATTAAAGGCACTAACTCTCCAGTGGAAATGGCGGGTGTAATTTGTTTTTTGTAAGTTCACAAACCTTTCTTCAATCGGTGATTGAAACTCTACGTGGTTTCCTAGTGCTGTCATACCCAGGGACAATCGTCAGGACTAGTACTAGTCCCTCTCACTCTCTTGCTTCTAGGTCAGCTGACCGCGCAACATTTTTTTACGAAGTTTGCCGAAAGAAATGTTAGTTCTACAAAACTATTTACAGATTCTTCTCTATCAAAAGTTGGAGTATCGTTCTCCATCAGGACCAAATTTAGGCTCTTTGAAACGTCATTAGTTACCCATCCCGATTTATCGTTACGTGCTCCACACCAGAAATTATGATGGGCATTGAAGTCACCACATAGTATATAATATACGGAGGGGGGGGGGGGGGGGGTGCCCTGTACAATCGCTTAAAATAGCCGAAAATCAAACGGTGTCTGTGAACGGAACAAATCACAATAAAACTGCGCGATCTGTTTATCACTAACCAGCTTTTTCTTCGAGTCTGACGCTTCAATGACGGCTCGGCTACTTGTTCACGTTTTACTGTATGTGGACCTAAAGGTTGCAATTTGCCCTTATCTTCTCTTCCTTATCAATATTTTTTTGTCCTGTTTTTGTGTGTAGCGCATCGTAGTCACAGTATATAGCTGACTGACAGCGTTCCGCTGAATCGGTTGAGGTTGTTGCTCGTATTTTGTATATGCCAGGATTCTGAAAAGAGCCGCTTCATCCAGTTCCTTTCTCTGTTGATGACGAACTGCAGCCGAAGGCGATGGCGTAGCCGGTCTTCTCAGCATGTTCCCCCAGCGCGTTGCCTTGGATGTCTTTCTTCTTCACGTCATACCATAGTCGTTTCTATGCTCACAAAGCCTGGCAGATTCGACGACGGAGCCATAGACTGCCCGGTCGCAGACTTGGAGCGCGAGGATCTGATAGAACAGATCATCAAATAGCCATTTATGGGGAACCTGGACGTAAGCGCACAGCTTTTGCAGCTGCGAGGACCCGAAATACAGTTTCGGGTCCTCGCGTCTCGCGGCAGCGGGGAGACACTGCTTTTTGGCGTCTCGCCGCAGCGGGGCACCAGTCACGTGGCTCTCCTCTCATCCGTTGTCTGCCGCTCCACTTTCTCTATTTCGGTGGCCGGTTCTCGTGGCAATCTGCCAGGCTTTGTGAGTATGTAGGAGGCTATGGTAATAATTATGTCTGAGGGGACGTTCGGGAAAGTTCTTGATTCCCCCTTATACGAGGCATCGGATTCAGCACAAGGAATTCGGTACACCAGCCCATGAGCTTTTTCTTTGGGGAGGGGGGGGGGGGCGATCCTTTGGAGGAGGAAGATAACTACCTGTGGCTCATACGGTGTTATGAGTAACTGCGATGCCTAACGTTGTCAGAGAGCGGCCGAGGATGTCGCTCGTGCCATGGAGGTACGGGACGCACACGCGGTTGGAGATTTTTTTGTTCTTGGCGGCAGGAGGATGACGTAGCTTAGGAATCTTGTTGTTGTTTTGTTTTCGTAAGTATCGTTTTTTAAGATCGATTTTCATTCTAAGAGACTCCTTTGTTGACCATACCGTGAGGGGGCGTCAAAAAAGCATTGACACCACAAAGGATTTATGAGGTGCAGGGTGGTCTGACGAGCAGTTTAGTAAACGACC